ATGTTCATGTTGGTGTACAGAGCGACCTGAGATAGCTGTGTAGACTATCGGTAAGGAGCATGTACTTGCTGTGGCACCATAGAGACACCGCTATTTATAGGAGCTACCACAGTAAAGGAAATTAGGAAATAGAAACAAACTTTTCTGTGCTGGATAGAGGTTACTGAGAACAGCATGCATTAGAAAATACCATACAATGTACGTGTGGCTAGGTACTATTAATTTTTATTTATTTAAAGCCGTGTTTCCCACACCTATCCTTAAGTCAATGCATGTTATGCAGGTAATCTCACATACTCACAGTTGGAATATCTATTTTCTAAACAATGTAATTTAGCTACCTGCTTGGATAACCAGGAACATGAGGTTTGGTCAGATCAGTGGACAGGAGCTTTGCCTCTTTACCAGATAGAGTAGGGAAGAATAAGACTGCCATGTTTTTATTGCTGTCTTTGTCCCATTAGGTGAGATTTCCCCTCTGCCCCATTCAGCAAGGAGAAAATTTCCAAAAACCTCTATTAAAATCTTACAGATGTTGAAAAGATGCCTGTTAGAAAGATACCTGCCTACTTCTTGTCCTGGTAGTAGTCAACAGGCAGAAATAGAGGGAAAATCTTTCCAAGGTAGACCAGGGCACCTTTAAAAACCTGGCAGAGGTTCAACTATCCCTCTATCCAAAGCAGAAAAAAAAAGCTGGAGTTCCACAATTGATGAATTTGTCTTTATTTTATTATATATATATATATATAAATATAAATGAAATTTAAAATGAACAATAAAATGCAATAAAAAAACAGGATCATTAAAAAATTTTTTTAAATGTACACAGCATCCCTCATATCTTATACATGCACTATAAACCACATATGTGTCATTTTGACCCAGTGTATTATGTACAAATCATGTTATTTTTATTAATCCAGTTTGTTGTTTCTTAGGGTTTTCAGAGGACTGTTGAAGCCTAGTTGCTGGAAGCAATGGGCAGTTTATGGCTTCTTCTTTTCTTTAAAGAAAGGAGGAAAATGCTCTAGGGGTATAAATATTCTTTGTTAGTTAAAAATAGCTCCATGCATTAATACAAAGAGAGTCTGTTGTACATTATCAGCTTGCAAGAAACTGTTCTATTCTTTTTTTGTAATGCACTTAAAATACAAGAGTCGCATTGTCCTCTCTACTTACATACATCTTATGGATTTTAGAACGGCAGTTCTGATATTTCTGTAACTGAAGAGCACTTGGGTTTTGCTTTGTGAAAGTATTGTACGTTCCATTAAATAAGATGTGCAGCTTAACATTGTATTCGGAACTCAGCATGATATATTGTAAAAAAAGTAGTGCATATTTTCCGATGTGATGGTTATATCTTAAAGGAGAACTATGGGGTTCTATCTTTTTTTTTATGAATGCATTCCTTAGGCTAAATAAGTAAATAATGTAATTTACTCTAATTAGCCAAAATGCACAGTAAGGCTGTAAACCCTTATTTAAGGTTGTGGGCGGGGCAAAGCGCCGCAATGAGAAGACATCCCGACGTATCTGACGGGATCCTCCCCGCTGATGACTGACAGTGCCCCGCCCACCACCTTAAATAAGGGTTTACAGCCTTACTGTGCATTTTGGCTAATTAGAGTAAATTACATTATTTACTTATTTAGCCTAAGGAATGCATTAATAAAGAAAAGATAGAACCCCATAGTTCTCCTTTAATGTCTTGTTCTTTTAACAAGTATGTATGGTGTATACTGATGCCCCTGGATCAGTAAAGTTGTAGGTATGGGAAGTGATGTTCCTACTGTGGTCACTGAGGGAATTGTCAATACTAATCTCAAAGAGGCTTTACCTGGGGATTTTTTCCTCTAACCACCCAGTGTGAAGATTGTGAAAATTCTAGCAGGTGGGTCCAGAGTGCAATCTATGGGCCAAGAACAATAGGACTAAAAACACTAGTGTGTGCTTTGCAAGTGCATTTTCATTCATGATTTCCTTTTATATTGCTGTTCATCTTTATAGATTGATGTAATGTGTGCAGTTTATGTCTCTCCCAGTAGATGTCATGTCTGCACAAGTTTATGGTCATATGCCTATCATAAAATCTAATGTTTGCTCTTTTACCTATTAAACCCAAAAGGTTATTTGGGTGTTAAAGGTCTCTTGAAGCCAGATGCACTCACAGCCCAATTGTAGCTTGGCAATCAAAACATCATTGTTCTACAGAGCATGTTATTTCATCTGCTATGCTGGTCATGGTCAGCTTGCATCAACCTAACAATGGTCAAGACCACAATCAAAGGGGTGTCTGATTTTATTATGAGTTCCATTTAAAGCACAACTCTAGACAAACCATTAAATACACAGCTGATATACTTATATATTTAATGTTCTTTCTGCCAAAGGATTTGTAATTTTGTTCAGGCAATATTTGACTCCCATTTTGCCACAATACACAGCTAGATGCGATGTTGTATGTAGTTCCTGGCTAAGTCATTTATCTTTCTGGTTCAGCAGTTTAGCTTCCTCTGTCATCTTTTTACCTCCAGTCTCATTGTGAACTCTGTGTATTGAGCAGGGAACTGACCCATGATGCAAAACTGATTAAACCAGTCATTGTCCTGATGAGCAGAGGTGTGTGTATTACAAGAATGGCTGGCCATAATTACAAATCCTTTGGCATGTAAAACAGTAAATAAATATGCTTTAGAAGCATATATTACCTAACGTCCTACTGTAAGAGATTTTCATTAGATACATGCATGTAAGAATGAAAAAACCTGAGGTGGTTGAGTGTTGAACTACAAGCTTTTCTGAGTAATCCGGCAGCAACCACCTGACAGGTAGGATCTGCCTGTGTCAGCAAATGGCTGTTCTATTTCTTGTTTTTAATATAGAAGTTTTTCTGGAACAAAAGAGATATCTGGGGATCAATCATGATGTGTATGAGAGTCTAAATATTCTAGTTCAGCTTCGAGGGCACTTGCAGTGATTCTTATCTAAGAGTGGTGGCACAAACACAGTTCTTCATCCAGCAATCTTTTATTCTTGAGGTAATTTGATAGCAAATTTTCTGCCAAGTTTAAGTTGTCAGAAGCATTTCATGGGCGCCTTCTCAGCTTTTCATGTTTTGCTAAAATGATACATTGTTTTCTTGACTATTGACTGTTATTGTGAGTTGATTGTCCTGTATTTAAAAACTCTGCTTAGACCGTTTCATCTGTGCATTTTGTAGGTCATGTGTCACCCCCAGCAGGTACATTACCAAGTCTTACCACTTTTTTAATTCTTGTGGAGGCACTTTATTTCCTGGCTTAGGCTGTATGTACGTTCTTGACTTCTGACCGGGAGGGGGGGTTAAGTCCCTCACCTCATTCCTGCTTTAAAGAGAATTAGTCATGACTGAGCTTTTGTAAGAATCAAAATATTTACTTTTTGCTGGCCTGTCAACTGCATGACCTTACATGTTGCACACTCGGTAGCTGGAAAACAGGCTGAACAACTGAGATCAGACTGCTGATGAGCAGGAACTGTTAGGACTTGAAGGATACATGTGCAGTGTACACCTCAATCACAGATGGGTACCAAACAAGCTGAATAATAGAAGACAAAGATTATTGTATGTCTACTTGTACTTCAGGGAAAGTGGTAATATTAAGTGAGATGTTTTCAGAACCTTACTTGTTGTGACATTTCTTCTTCCTCAAGTCAGAATAGTATATACTGAAAGGGGAAGCTAAAGGACCTATACATAGCTAAACTTTCATTCAACATTATTTACGATAATACAGTAATACCTTGGTTTACGAGCATAATTCGTTCCGGAAGCATGCTTGTAATCCAAAGCGCTTGTATATCAAAGCGAATTTCCCCATAGGAAATAATGGAAATTCAGATGATTCGTTCCACAACCCAAAAATATTCATATAAAATGATTACAATACAGTACTGTAATATAATACTGTATAAAATATAAAGAAAAATAAACCAATTACCGGTAACTTTGTGGATGGTGTGAGGGGAACAAGAGAGAGGAGGATTATTGTATAGGACGACTTTCACTGTCACTAACGGAATCACTGCTATCTCTTGACTCAATGGAATCTTTTTCATTTTGTGAAACCTTAACAAGGAATCTATTCAATGTGACGTTGCATTGTCGTTAAACAGATTCATCGCTCGCACTGCTACAGCCTTATTCGGGTGGCGCTTTTCTACAGAATTTTGCTCTTATTGCAAGACATTTGCTTGTATATCAAGGCAACATTTTTCAGAAATGTTTGCTTGTCTTGCAAAACGCTCTCAAACCAAGTTACTTGTAAACCAAGGTATTACTGTATATAGCTGGGCCATAATTTGCTACTTACTGCCCCATGCTGGTTTGGTGCTTTTCTACCCTGAAGAAGGTTACATACTTGTTTCAATCCCCTCTAAACTCATTATGTTGGCTACATCAATATTAGTACACTCATGGTAGTATAAGTTAGGCACTAAAAATTGTTTACTGTAGTGCTAGTAAATTTGCTTTGTTCTGTAATAGCAGGCAAAAGGGAAAGCTGTTGGCCTTTCATGTAACAGTTATTACAGTGATAATAACGTGCATGCCCCATCTACCCTGCTTATCTCTAAATGTAATATTCTGTTTTTGGTAGCTTTTGGTTTCACGTACAACAGTAAAAAAAACAGTGATTTGTGGTAAATGTGAAGTCACATTTGCTTTCATCTACTTCTCTTTCAGCCTTTATCTATAGATCGTGTTACATTCATTGTGTGTCATGGATTTAAAATTTTTTGTCATGTTAAGATTCATTATAACTTCTTTTTTAATCTACAGTAAACTTTGTAAACATGTTCTTTAGCTTGATTCTGCCTAGTGTAATTATTTCCTATAAAATGTCATGAACATATTCTTGGAGTTTAGCATGAAATAGCTAGATGAGGCTAGTGGGAAGAATGATTCATTGTTTGCTTTTCACAGCCCTGCATTCACATCTCCCTCTTATTATTTGCAGCAGATGTGAACCAGAACAATGGCACCTCATCCAAGGGCACGGCGGTGACTGACTCCACAAGCGCAGAAGACCCCCAGAATAATTGGGATGAAGCCAACTCGACTGACACTCGCCCACATTTGGTCCGCCTCTTTTCCCGAGATGCTCCAGGAAGGGAGGACAACACCTTCAAAGATCGGCCTTCTGAGTCAGATGAGCTTCAAACCATCCCAGAAGACAGTGGAACAACTTCAGACACGGATTTGATGGCTTCTCAGAAACTGTCCCGCCACGGATCAAAGCCAATGGCTTCAGCAAGCACTTCAGACCGTTCTAGATATGGCCATGGAGCTCACAGCAGATACAGAGACACAGGCCTTCTTGACTCACTGGGCAGGTTCTTTGGAGGTGACAGGCATGTTCCAAGGAAGGGAAAGGTGAGCACCGAGGAATAGGCAAAAACTAACCAGATCAAATACATGGTGTCAAAGAGGACAAATTGTGTTAGTCTGTATCTAAAAAAAAAACATACCTAAGAAACACGCTGAATCGAAAATAATCCTAATGCCTCATTTACTAATCCTGTATTCATGTTGTACTTCAAATTTGCCACAAGTAGATAATCTGTCGCTGTTTAATAAAAGAGGCAAAGTTGTTTTCTTGTCTAATAAATCATCTATGCTGTGTGTATATGGATTTTTATCCAATGCATCGAGCAAAAGGTACATTTATTTTTGGTCTGTGGTTGGGTGTGGCTTTAGCAACAGTCATTCTAAATTTGACGATGGTGCGGTGATTTGCCGACTATCCTCTCTGCATTCCATGAAACTTGGAAATGCTTAATCTGTGCTTTAATATGCAGGATGTCCTTTAAATATCGATCCTTCTTTTCCAGTTTGGTGTAGTGCCTTATACCACAAGAGATGTGTCTGACGTTTTATATACCGTTTTACTTGCAAAACCTTTGCAACAATCACAGATTGCAAGAATGTTAGCTAACTCAAGACCTTCAGTACTACAGCCGTTAGCACAAGTTTTGTTTCCTAATATTTTAGGAGTACTTTACCAATCTGTACTAAATAAAGCACCAAATATGGACCATGCTGCTTGGCAAGTGTGGACTTCGATAACTTAGATATCCGCCTAAAAATGTATTCACAAAAAATGACATGTTTCATTTTATGATACTGTTAAATATTATACTGGCACAGCCAAGTCTATATGATTGCTGCCACTTATGCAAACCATTAATTGTCACAATTTATAAATCAAAAATTCGAGATCAACCAGTAAGATGTGACTTGCCATTACAGATGTGTGTTGGATACCATGCATGTGTGTAACTATATACATACATATGTGTGCAAGTACCAACCACCATGTAGGGTAAGTTACAGGTCTTATGTTTTGTTATTCAGTTTCATACTTAGCTGCAGCAGATACAAATATATTGTACTAGATGCATATTATATGTGCAGTACATGTATAAGAGTTTTTACAACTGTGTAATTCATCAATGAATGTAATAAGCAGACCTCTATGTAATGTTGATTTTTATTTTTATTTTACAAGAATAGTCCAATTTAAACCCTTTAAGCTATATGTTTTGATGATGCCAACATTCTAAAGCTCTTTAATGGGTCAGTGTCTTGGCCGGACAAATCCCAAATATCAGGTAGTCGTGAGCCTAAACCTTTATAGCTGTCACCTAAGGTTGGACAGACTGCTTCCTGAATTCTGCAGGAATCTGTCTATCCCTTGCCATTGTCCTTGATTGTTAAATTGGAAGCTGTGTTTTATAATGGCTTAACATTGTTAATAAATTACACATCGAGTTTGCATTGGTTTGTTCCATTGCCTGTTCTATCTAGTTTTAAGCACCAAAATGATCTTCTTTGAATCCCATTGTGAAAAAAAAAATATCTTTAACTCCCTGAAATATGCTCTATAGCCTTGATATTTGAAGCCTTTTTAACTCGTTTTATTAATATAAATCTCTGTGAAAGAACTTTAATATTTTTTGTACAGAAAAGAATGACATCTAAGTAATGTCAGACATAGCAAAGGCCAGATGTTCAAGGGCAATAGAGAAATAATATGAGATGATACAGATACTTGTATAGAACTGACAGACAAAGGTGCAGGCTGACTGGTAAATGGACTGGAAGAAGTACTGTTCAGTACTCTCTGAGCCAAAGTCTGCACAAGGACAGAAATGCGCTGTACAGAATGTTTTTCAAGATTACGTACGTATCTTGTATGTAGCTAGCTAAAAATGGACATATTGCTGTATCATGTTACCATGAGTATTTTAAAAGACTTTAGTGTTTAGAACTACGGGTACTTGCATAGTTGCCTATGTTATATACTTAGCTAATTGAGTCATGAAGTGTTCTTCAGTATATATAGAACAGTTGCAATTAATAAATAACAATAGTGCAAAATAGACCCATCGCAAACAATCAGCTTTTAACGTTTAGTGCCATTAGACTTGTAAAAGCTGGTGATCTGTGTGTCATTGCACATTATATATCTCTGCATTATGTTATATAAAGAAAGTAGATGTATGTTTGTAGTGGAGGGTTCTGCTGAGAAGTTTGTGGTACTGTTTTTGTTCTGTAGATACTCTGCCATTAGTGTATGTGAATGGTTTATTGCCTCTTTCTTGTTCACATTACGCTTTTCTGAACTGTCTAGAAGCATAGTTAAAGGACTTAGTTCCTTGTCCACACAATACCTGTTATTTCTTGTTAATGATTGTTCTATAAATGAACGTAGATCAGAATAAATGAGTGTAATTATTTTCTTATTCCTCTATTCTACATTCCACTTTAAGTCACAAGTAATCGAAGAAATCATTACAGTTTTGCATGTAATTATCGCTTGCCTTTTGTCTAGATTTGGACTAAAATAATTATGGGTACGCTAAGCACAAGCCAGTCCTTTGTTTCAACTGAACAATTGCTTGTTTATGTGAGTGGTCAATCCCACTTTTGTTTGGTGACCAGTATAAGACAGGCTTTCTTTTAAAAGCATAAATTTGTCATGCCAACTGTGTAGGCATAAATCTGTCTAAAGTCCTGTTCTACATTGTGATTTAAAAGCATTTAATGCTGCTTTGCATCAAAAGTGGTACTTTTCGACATGATTGCTGCCAAATGATAGGACTGTGTAACTGTTTTATTACACATCTATAAACCTTGGGCACTGTTCTTTGTACAGATACTTTCATATGTGACAGACGGTGTTAATGATTATTATAATGTAGGGATGTCCCGATGCCACTTTTTCAGGCCCAAGTACAAGTACAAATACATCCCCTACTTGTCAAAATGCCCTGTATCGGGCCCGATTCCGATGCTAGCATCGGTATCGGGACATCCCTACTATAATGTATAATACTTTTCATGTATCCATAAGTCTAGCAGTCTGCAATGGCGGATGACAGATATCAGAAATCAAAACAGCAGAGATAAACTCAGGACATAGTTTTCCCTCAAGATGTATTCTCTCAGGGCACTTTATAAACTAATGAGTAGAAGGAACGTTTCTAAGTATAATGAAGTGTACACAAGTGCCTGTTTGAGATTAAATGTCAAACCCATCTCAAGCCTTTCATGTCAAGTCAAGCAAAAACCATTGTATATTTCTGCTAAACGTGAGCCTCAAAATTGTACTTTAGCAGACTTTAAGATTACAACAGCTAGGATTCTGTTGGATCATTACAATTAGAAAGCTTTAGATGCATTCTAATCTAATTCAGTGTATGTGGTTCTCCACCGGTAACCTCTGATTGGAAACATGTAGGCTTCTGATGAGTGGTTACTGTTACATGAACAGGTCACAACGGGTAAATTGGGGTTTCCATCATTAACTTGTTGGCTGCACATGCACACAATGGCAGCGTGTAATAAATATTTAGCCTGAATTTCATCAGGCAATATTATGTGCTTGTGTTGCTAAGATTAATGGCCTGTTGTTAGGTGTAACTTTATCCTGAAAGTAGTTTTATATATCCAGTTGCAGAAAAACTACACAGGTAGTTTAACTGTACACTAAATGCATTGATCAAGAGTGTAGAAGGATAAAACAGTATAGCTACAAATTCGGGTGAGCACACCCAACTTTCTGATTGCATTAAAGTAATCTTTTGAGGTGAGGAGTTTTTTGGAAAGCACCAAGGATTTGAGGATGATGGGAATGAGGTGATAAGATTAAGTTAGCCTGGTTCTCCAATTAGGTCATCCATTGTTTGTGGGCAGCTGACATTTAAACCGTTAATTGATCCTATTACATGCACAAATATTTCAGCCTCCAATATAGCCTTTTAAAACCATCCATATGCTGCATAATACCTTGCTGAATTTGTACAATTAAGTATGCAGTGGTTGGATGCTGTTTGCCACGTATGCAATTTGCTAATAGCACCACACTGTGGTTTTGGCCATAGTGACCAACTGTCAGCAGTACTATGTTTCACCGTTTGGTGGTGCCAGGCGCTTTCTCTCCTTCTATGGTACATAAAGTGTTGCCTGTCTTAACCTTTATAACTTTACAAGTCAGAAGCAGCTCATAGTCAGCTGGCCTTTGCCAGTGTAGGTAGTTCTGCACCAGCTTTAGCTTGGAGCCCTGGCGATACTTGTATTACACACTCATTGTGAGTGTGCACTGTATTTTTCTATGTGTATACCTTGCATACTCTATTCTGAAATCTCACTTGAATTGTGGTATGCTATTTTAAAATACAGTGTTTTTCAAAATCTAATATATATATATATGTGTGTGTGTGTGTATATATATATATAATCTATATGCTGCGTAACTATAATGTTTCTTGATTACTGAGTGTTTATATTTCACTGTATTGGCTCACTATATCTACAACTATATGATACTGCTTGAATTATTACTAACTGCCACTTCTTCTAAATAACTGCAATGTACTAGATTCATGTAATATGCTCTGTGTACCTTGATTTTTTCATATATGTGTTAATATTTGGCTTTGTATGTTGTAAAATAAACATTTATTGATAAAGCAGAAATACTAACTGCCTTTTATTTTTACCTTCCTATTATTTGTGTTATTTGACTAAATGTTGTTGTGGTGCCTACTATGAAATGGAATTAAGTGTTCGAAGGACAAGGTTAAACAAAATGGCAAGAAGAAAATGTTCTCAGGGTCCCAATTGTATGCCCCACATACATGTCCTAATTTACTGTCATAGCTGAAAGTGTCTTCCATGTCCCCAGTTCAACACCCTTCTCAAAATCCTGGTATTTGTACTCACCCATGTGACGGATCCCTGCAGAAAAAGATGGCTATCAAACATCTGCTTCCTTGCCCAATGTTCCTGCCCCTGCAGAGCAGCTGCACTCTAATGAGGTTATCTGTCTGCTCTTCGTCCATGACAACACAGTGGGGTTAATTAACTTAAGGCAAATAGGCTGTTCACTTTGAAAGGGAATTTTCTTATAGCTTAGTGAATGAGGTGAAGCTCTGCTGACTTCCATCATCCAATCATGTGCAAGCAAAAATACTGTTTTTTTTATATGTTCCTTGCATGTGATTAGGTATTTGTTGCAAAGTTAATTCTCACCACATTCGCTAAGAGAAAATTCCCTTGCAAAGTGAACAGCCTATTTGCCTTAGTTAATTAACCCCATTGAATCCAGGAGAGCGTGGTTGGCTCACACTGCTGGAACTCCTGTTCTCAGTCCTATTTTGCACAGGAAACATTGGAATCAAATATAAAACAGAAGCACAGGGAATTGTAGATGGTGTCTTATGTTTCTTGAAAGAGTGACAGCAAACAGTAGACATTTCATTCTAATGTATGGCCAGGATTCCCACAATCTTCACTTGGGCAGTTTTTACTCTTATCTGAGTGGGGTGCCATTATTGGACTAGATAGATAGATATAGATTGCCTGCAATACAACATTTTTTCTTTTTTTTTTTTGAATCTCTGACTAAATCTGGCACAGTGAATTAAAATCTAACTCGCCCTCTCAAATACAGAATCTATAAATCATGTGCTGCAAACAATCAAAGCAATTGTCTGTATAGCACAACAAAAGAGGAATCTTTGTACTGTCTTGCTTAGCTCTGCTTTCTAATGACTGTACAAAAGTAGCTTTTCCCAAGTGTCCTTGTCAGTGATCTAGTTATGCTAACCCATTAAGCAGGGCGCCTCCTAAGCTTAATGACTCAGACTCTACTATAACTGCTTATCATCTTTGATGAAGGTCATATAACTTACATACTGTATCACACATAGTACAGGATCACAAACTACTTATAAAAATGAGACTCTTAAGAATTTCATTTTCATATGTAAATTTTGCATTAAAAAGAGATTCTTAATAGTTTAATTTTTTATGTGAATTTGGCATAAAAATAAACATTTGACCAAGATTTTCCTTTTTTTTCTATTTCCACAAATTTCAGCTTCTTCACTAATGCAATACAAAGAGAAGAAATAATGACACGCAAAGTGCTGTAATACATAGCAGCAAAATCTATTTGGGTTTCCTTGTTGGATCAAGGAGCAATTGTTTTTGAAAATGCAGTTTTTTTATAGGCTTAATCTATGGGCTTAAAGGTTATTTACAGCCAATCCTTTTTTTTAAAGTTTTGGATATAGTGGGGAATAGTTAAAATCTGCACCGGAATTTAATTTCTGTCTGGGTCCCCTCTGGACAGACTCATCCTTTGTTTGTATGGGAAATACAAAATGTTCTGGTTGCCACTAGAACAGGAGGTGAGGGGAAATCTTCCTGTGAGGACGGCTGTCTAAGAGGACATATCCCCATATTTTGGAGAGATTTCCTCCCACTTCCTGTCATGTCTTGAAGACCAAGACTCAAAAAATGAAAAACCTACAGGAGTTATAACCATTTCTCACTCAATCCGAAAACCTTTGGCTATAGATAAATTATCAATTCAGGGGAATTAGATACTAACATCCACTAGGAGTCCATAGCTAAACTATGGAAGCCGTACATAGTATATAATAAACATTAAAACAAATGGAAACTGCTAATTGGTAGCTAGAAAAATGAGGGGAGCCTGCACAGAGTCACCATCATAAATTATTAGGAACCTACACCTTCTTTTTTTATTACAGAATTTCCACTTTGCCAAAGAGCTTATTATTTTAATGTGTCCCTGGAAAACATCTTTATGATCTCCATAGACATTAGAAACCTGTCATCCAACATCTGCAATTTTGACCACTGCATGTAAAGGTCAGGCGGCTAGGAAGATATACAGTAAACTAGTCAGACATAGAAAATGGCCATGCATCATCGTCAGGCAAATAAAATCAATTCATTTCTAATGGTATCTCAAACAGCCAATTGTTCTCCCTCATTGCTATAGACATCATCACAGTGATGTAGTTCACAGAACTTTAAAAGCTTTGTTGCTTACAGAATTCCCACACTGGGTAAAACAAACAGCTACTGATCTTGAAACAGCAGAAGCTATACACAGATGCTATCTTTCATGAAAAATGACTTGTAAAGTGAAAAAAATGTCATTTTGCAAAGAAATGCTTCCTCGGAGTTCCCACAGTTATGGCTGTATTGGCTAAATTGGATTGCCTGCAGATAGATCAGAATAGCTGTGTCGAGATTTATTGTAATCCAATCTCATTATGAACAATCGTTTTTCTTAAAATGATAATATAATAAATATTTTAAAACTGTAATGGATGTAAACAAATATTGCTACAATCAATAAGAATGCTTGGAGAAAAGACCATCCGAAAACTAGAGAGGGACTGTAAAAGGGGGCTCAGCATGCCCTCCCAAGATGTTGCACTGCGGGTCAGAAAGTGCACTTAAGGCATGCTGTGAAATCTGCAGCATTAACTCACGCAGTCTTGTCGACCCTGAAGAGTTCACCTCTGTGAATTACAGAACATTCCTTTTTGTTATGGAGATGAGTAAGAGGGGAGGTGTTCCTGTCCTAGGGTGACAATGCTGTTTTTTCATAGACAGTACAATGAACGAGCATCACACTAAGACAGGAAGTGTGTTAGTGGCGGAAACACCAGGTGAAAATATAGGAAAAGAATACCAATGTAGCCACCACATATAAGCTGCAATATATTACAGTTTTAAACTTGGATTTAGATACACTTTAAGTACCCATGCAGCTTCATCATTCAAGGCCAGTGTCTGCATCTAGGATTAGATTTTTTCTAAACCAAAATGTAAACTCGAACAATGAACATGTCTCATTTGCTGCCCTTTGGTCTCTTAATTATAGCATTGAAAGCATTTTGTTATATCTTTTTAGTAAGTGAAAGAACTGTCCTGTGTGCACTCTTCCTGTGTTCTCTCAAGGAGTGCAATTAGCCACCCAGTTCTTTTCCTGTACCACAAAAAAGTAGCCTCTCTGTTGGAGAGAATAGGAGAGTCAGAGGGTTTGAGTAGTTTAGCAAAAGACAACTGGGCAGGACTGACACCAATTAGTCCACATAAATGCTGGGTTTTGTCAGCTCAGAACAGTACTTAGGAGCTGAGAGCATTTCAGGCAGATCAACAGGTATTTGTAGTTGCAGGGTTATTATCGCAAATGTTATTTTATTTTTATTTTCCCTCACATATATACAACAAGAAAAGATTGGGGTTTAATGAGATGTCATAGCCATTGCACAAGTAAAATCAAAGAAAAAATTATTAGTACATATTCTTACATGATATCAATATAAAAAATATCTTAACCCTAAAAGACTTATTTTCCCTGACAGACACTTTGAGAAACTTGTATTATTATAATAATGGTAATAACAATAATAATAAATTACCCCATTCAACAAATTAGCAAAACAAGTTGCTAAAGTAGTACCAAAATGTCATTTATTTAGTGTTGCTGCAGCAGAGTTGCCGTGTGGAGAGCTTTTAATCAAAATAAAATCTCCATGCTATAACTCAAAGTTTAGAAAAGCCAAGATGAGATATATATATCTTTCAAGGAAAACATCGGTCATACTTAATTTGTAAACAGCATTTCTTATGACAATAAAATGATGTTGTGCAAACAACGTTCGGTTCTTTTCCTCAGTGGACAGGCTACGTAAAGGTTATAAATGTGCCGCTCAATAAAAAGTGGCTAGAAAGCTGCACAAACTTTTCTTTTTCATCAGTTTTTTTCACTGAGCTAGAAAATAGCAAACTAATGGCCATTTCACAGTAATTAGGAAATGTTTCAGTTTCCTAAGCTTATTATTTGATTAGGAAGATAATTAGTTTACATACGAATTGTAACTCGGCTGAATACAGCATTGCAGTGCCATTTCTAAGTACTGAAATCATTTAAATGTGTCTTAAATAATTGGCATTGCTTTCCCGCAGCTATTGGCTAGGCCTTAGAAATAACTGTCCAACCAATTTGGCCTGGTACATTAAACATAAATATAAAATATTGGATGTTAGGTGTAATTCAGAGCTGTACTATAAGCCGCCGCAGCAGGTGCTAATGCCATTTTATTCACGAAAAAGAAAAAGTTCAGGCAATAATAATGTAGAAAGATTTTTGCACCAAAAAATTAAGCACCAAAGTGTTTTCCATAGTAACGCCTAAGGGTAAGGTTACACAGTTGATCTTAAAGTGTACTTGTGCCTAGACTATGCACATTAAAGTATTCAAATATTCCGAACAAGCAATAAAGGCACTTTAAAACAAGCCCTGACTGACCTCTGTAGTTGTATGCATTGTGGAGATATTCAGCTTTAAATTTAACGAGAGGCACTGAAATTGCATCTCCTCTCCTATTATTTTCTATGGCAGGAGAAATTGCTTGCCAGCCTAATTTATATAAACGGCAGGTGTTTCTAAGCTGTTAGAAACCAACTGCAACCCAAATTCAGAGTCTATGTTGTAATCTTTGAGGATGAATAACTTCACAGCACATGCAGCTAAAGGGAATAGTTTAGTACTCTTTTACTGCTTGTTAAGAATATGCAAATACTTTAATGTCCATAGTTTAGGCATGGATGTACTTTATTTTAGCGCTTCTGAGAGATTTACCCACTTGCATGGGGTCACTGTATTTGCAACTAAGTGGTAACTCTCTCAGGAAGTAGCAAGAGATTGAGGTCCCCTTCACATCTGTGCATTGCGGCAATGGGCACTAAAATGCATTTATGTTACTGTTATGTGCTCTAAAGCAAAATAATTGGCGTGCTGTGTTGCAATGCCATTTATTTAGATAGCTTTTTTATAGTCAGTGTAGAGACACAGATTTGTACTAAATCACAATACAATTCCCAGATACTTCCAAAGGATGTAATCTGTGATTCTGTAGAGCTGAATGGCACCTACGTAAGATTAGTTCTCTTATAAGCAAAAAAGACAGGGGACATGTAAAGGTGGCTACACGCGTATCAATATGATGATTCAATGTGGCTAAACTAATTGAATGAAATAAACATCACAAACCCCAGACCCTCCATTTGTTCAATTTGGTGAGCTCTTGATCAACTTTGTTTATTGGCCATGGTGGAATTTTGTTAATCGCTTCTGACTGATCAAAATTATATCTGATTATGTGCCAGAGACCCAATCACAATGCAAACCAATTGAATTGTCATGTTTAAATGATCAGGAATAAGTTTTATATTTCAATGAGGAATCACTTATTTGAGATTGACCTACCTTGGTCATTTACAAATCGCTACATGTATGGCCACCTTAGCGGCCATACATGTAGCGATCAATAGGCTTCTGTTCACTTCAGAACTCCTTCTCTCCTCATACAAGTCTATGGGAATGCAAAAGCAGCTTGAAGCAGGTCAACTGAAGGTCAAATGCACCATTAATTCTGAACTGGTATCAAAAGCACACTGTATATGGCCATTGGAGCCTGTTGACAACGGCCCTCTGGGTTTTTGTACTACTGGCACAGTGGCCCCGAATAATGGCAAGAACATGTGTAAAACATACATGTAAAGTGTTAGTCTAAGACATGCTTAGGGTTAATGTCTGTCTAATATGCCCATAATGTTGTATATGTATAGCGTTACATGAACTTAGTGGAGGGGTCAGCAGCATACGTGTAGTGCAGGGACTATAACAGACTTGAGATCTAGGGCACCCAGCAAGAGGTGAAAGTGTCATATTTTGATATTTTGTTCTTACTCTAGACCTCTGCTTCCATGTTGTGTGTACCATGTAAACAAGAAAGGGGGTGGGCAAAGATTTAAACAGAGCAACCCCCTGATGTGAGCGTAGCTTTTATTCCTGATTCAAGTCCAGTGAAGAAGAGTGACAACATAAATTTTTCTGTAAATGTTGCCACATGTATTTTTTCTGATATTGCATTGGGGTTATGATGTATGGCCAGTATACACTGAGTGGCCAGATTATTATGACCACCCCATCAGTACTTCGTTGGGCCACGAGATGACTCCACGAGATGACTTCGTTGGGCCGCCTCGTGACTCCACGAGATGTTGAAAGGTAATGCGAGGAATCTGACACTGCACTGTTGCCCTTCTGTTGTCTTGTACCAGTCTTGCCACTCTCCGTTCTGCCCTAACATTGACTAGTCGCTGACGGCCACAATTCGCACGTTCAGACCCAGATTTTCGGCCGACAGTCCAGTCTTTAAACACTTTAACAACAGCTGCTCTTGTACATTTAACGAATTCTGCTGTTTTGCTGATACTCGCTCCATGGCTCCGAGTGCCAACAATCATCCCACGTTTAAAGGCTGTTAAATCGCGTTGTTTACCCATATCTTCAGAAAAAAATCACTTCTACTGTCGTGGTAAACAACCTGCTTCCCTATTTATAATGGTCTGGCCCTCTAGCAACTTCAGCGCAAAATTATAGCTAATTGTAGCTAATTTGCCTACAAACGTCAGGTGGTCATAATAATCTGGCCACTCAGTGTAGACTATCCTAATACTTTGGTTCCTCTTTGGTTAAATAGTTCTGACTATACGCTGACATGGTTGAATGTACAGATCACATTATTTTTTCTTAAAGGAGAACTATGAGGGGAGTGCTTTTCACTCACCTCATAGTTCTAGCCGACCTGTGACAATGAGACTATCACAGGTCGGCTCAGTAGATCGGGAGGTGAGCGAACACATACCGGGTTCGCTTGCCTCTCGATCCTGTCACGGCTCTCTGCCGTGACAGGGGGAGGGGCTGGATTCCCCTCTCCCCGCTCTGATCTGCCAGCGCTGACTGGCGGAACGGACGGGGGAGGGGGCGGGTACAGCTGGCTCTGCCTCTAGATAGGCAGAGCCAGCTGTCACTCACGCAGCTGGGCGGATCCCGTCATCTACGTCGGGATCCGCTCCGGCTGCGGCGCCTCAGTATACCGCGAGCTGTAGCTCGCGGTATACTGAGCATAGGGTAGGAGAGGACACTAGTTTGTGTCCTCCCGTTACCCTAAGGAGAACTATGGGGAAAAACACTGACCCCATAGTTCTCCTTTAACAGCTGACAATACAAATATGCAGAGAGGTACAACTAACCCTAATTAATAATCAAGCTACCCTGAAAAAGTCAATTTAGGATATTTATAACCTTGCTAAGCAGATTTTTGCTGCTTCTTTTTCAAAGTAAATAACACTTTTTTTTCCATTCCCAGCATCCTCATGAACAATCCAATTTAAGCTATCACACTACACTTGGCACATGTTTAATTAATTTCTGATCCAGATGTATATCTCTTGAATAAGTTCAACCTTGAGGCCAAACTTCTAACTAGATGATGAGTCTTTTTAACATCTGCTCCTGTTCTCTTTGATAAGCTTCATGAATTTAATCTCTGTAACTCACATCTCAGTTACAAAAGGTGACATTATAACAGCGATAAAAGGACAGATCTGTCACTAACACATATTTCAGTTTTTGTAGCTATAATATTGTAGAACAGTTATGCAAATGTCAACAAGCGGTGCCCTTCTCTGAATTCATAGCTAAAAAAATAATGCAGTATCAGCTATGAAACTTTGATTTTGCTGCCAAAAAAGGCATGGGGCAGGTGCACTCTACCAGGGTTAAAACACGTCCATGAGGATTGATTCTCCTATATATCACATTAGATTCATCCGCTATAATTGAATATAATTAACCATGGATAGCTGTCTTGACCTTAACTGGTAACTTTACTTGAGTGCATGACAAGGTTAAATTCCATGTACTGGGAAGGATAACATTATGAAGAAAGAAAGTGTAACCTTTTTCTCTGTGTTCTCTTATAATGAGCTAACAGTCTATTTGAAATAAGTGAATCCAAGCAAGGAGTTCATTAATCTCTTATATAGAATTGTAAATATATGAAATATTAATTTCTTTAATTTTTTTTCTCATATTTGCCTATTAAATGCTTAAAACATTAATAACTGAAGAAATATAGGAACTGTTGTTCAGACAACTCCATATTAATTTTCAGGTTGATTTTGAAGGCAAACAGATAGTGCTGTTGAAATCCATTAACCCGTAATTATAGAAAATAGATATATAAAAATAAAATAGATTTACTATAGAATATAAATAGAAGTATAATGTACAATCCAGGGATTTTAGTATCAAGCAGAGAAGTAGAGAAAATTATAGAATAAAAATAGAATAGTATTTTTTGTTTTTGTTTTATAGATTGCAAATATTTATATAACTTTGTTGTCTTAATACAAAGTAATGGTGGAATCAATAGGCCTGTAGCAAAAATGCTTTGGGCTATTACAGATATACAGGTATGCAAACTAAAGTGATTAAAAATACATAACCAAATGCAATGGTGTTTTTTTAATATACTGTGTGCCTGCAGTTCAGCTTTAACAACACACCAAACAATAGGGGGGTTATTCACTAATGTGCAGAAGGATTAGGCCGAAGCTTCGGCTAATCCTTCGGCTGCGGTAGCCCTTCGGTTCAACTGAATCGAAGGGCTGCTGTACGGGCTATTCACAATAGCCCATACAGCAGCTAAAGTGCTCCGCCGAGTGTCCGCAGACCCCCACAACCACCGGGCAGAATTGTGGGGAACCTCACGCACTTTGAAAAAAAAAAATTAAACTGCGGGTCCCTCCTAACATTCCTACCAGACCTAAAGGGTCTGGTATGGTTTGGGAGGGGGACTCCACGCTGTTCAGCTGAACTGAAGTGAAGGGAGTGTTTTCAGCCGTACCTTTCAGCTATCTTCACTTCGGGTCGATTATTCACTTGGCCAGAGTTTAACTGGTATTTTAGTGTTCTAATCAAGTATCATATTAAAAATCTTTGTGTGTTGGCAGTAGACAAAAGAACCATAATGTAATCCCCCCTCCCAAACATGTAACCATAGTTTGGACTGCATAAATAGCCAAGGAGAATGTATGGAAATAAAGATTTGTAGTTAATTTGCCTGAAATTTGGTTTGGGTATCTATTGGAAAACTCCAATGAGGAGTCTTTAGCATCTAATGTTAAAGAGAGCATGCAAACATTTGTGCATTTTGCAGCTGTCAAAGGCTGATACATGAACTCTTACATGTACAAATGCTAAAATTGTGTATTTCCCATACACTACGCCCTGCATCTGCCATCATGGTGGTGCAGAGGAACCAAGAACCATTGTACCCAATGTTTATCCAATCGGCAACAGTACTCATGTCCCGGAAGAGGACAGACACATAATGTAGTTGTCTCCTGTCCTACCTCATAATTCCAAGAATGTAATGCATTGTGTGTTCTAATACTGTCATTGTAGTCCATATTGTATACCTTAGCGATTGTTACATCTGAAAAGCTCAAATGTTCTACAGTATTGGCAATGCTGATTCTCATCCTCGTAATAGTAGTCATGCCTGTATGGCCAAGCCCATTATTGGCAACTCGTTCAAATCAAGTGTACAAATGGAATTACAGTTGTGATTTTCTGTTTATGCAGTTCCATAAGTAAATAGCAATGGTGGGATCACTTCTGCAAGAACAGGGTTTCTACTTCTCTGGACACTGAGGGTAGCATTATCACTGTTCTCAAACATACAGGATATACATTTACATATTGCTGACATCACACAATTTTCTTTTCAGGATGTTCATCTGTCTAGATCTCTGTCCAGATCCGGCTACCTCTCATCCTCTCCCCAGAGGGCTTACTATCATGGCCATGGTAGATATACTGATGAAAACCCAGTTGTCCACTTCTTCAGGAACATTGTAAGTGTTTGAAAAACTGTGGAATCTTGCAGTCAAGCCCCCCCAAATTTTACATTTTCTAATGAAAACTGAAACCAATCCACTGTTCAATGAGATCCATTACTAACTGGTTTATTTTAGAAAGACTCATTTCTAACCTGGCTTACAATATTCTGAGTAGTAATATGAATTAAGGTAAAATTAAACTTCATTAGATGACTGTATTGAGAAACACTGCCACTTTGCGATTGACACCTCTACCTCTTATAGGCACAGGCTTACTATACTTAATAGCATATTCGGCCCTGGTTATTCCCAATGGCTTGTTACTGAAGGGGGGGGAGATATTGCCCATTGCTGTTGAGCAAAGTGTTTTAGAAGCTGCAGTGAACAATCAAGGTCAGTAGTGGCCAGCTGCAGGTATGCTTACTAACATCTTTCCAGCCAGAGTGCCCCAGGTTTCTGTAAGCTCTTAGCAACCTTTGACACTCTGTCCGGCATCCCGCCCAGTTCACTGACATTGCTGGTTGCCAGGAGCTGAGCAGAATTTTCTGGCTGACATCCCACCTAGCTCCTCGTCACCGCTGAGTGTTGCTGGTGTCTCTTTGTGTGGTAATGTTATGGTTATATAACTTTAATGATGTTTCATTCATCTCTATTTCTAGGTGACACCCAGGACTCCACCCCCTTCTCAACCAAAGGTAAATATTGTATCCAGCAAATGCTATTAATGTCTTTATACAGTGAATGCACTGCTATGAGAATCATAGCTGCCTTACATTTGGACAGGTCACTTCTTTAAACTACAAAATAATGTACATGGTTCAGACAAAATTTAACCACTACAATCTGTTTTTATTTTAGAAAAGGAGGGGGAAAAAGTGCCTGCGTCTTATGGAGCGAATCCCGACGCCCGAGACATGCAGTTTCGGGCGCCGGGCGAGTAGTAGGAGCCACTGCTCGTTTAATACGAGTGATCGAACGAGATCACTCGTATTAAAGCAGAGCAGCGGCGGCGGCGATCGAGTACAGCAGCAGGAGCCACTGCTCGTTTAATACGAGTGATCTAATGAGATCACTCGTATTAAAACCGAGCAGCGGCGACGATCGAGATAACCATAGAGCAGACGAAGAATAGACGTTCTTCGCCTGCTCTGTGTCATCACTGAGACCGTGGCGCTGTAATCACAGCGCCACCTGTCTCAGCGGTCACTAACTGCAGCTTCTGTCACAGCTTCTGTCATAGAAGCTATCACAGAAGCTACAGTCTTGAGTGCTCCATAAGGCGCGCCGGACCTCCCTGCATCCTATGGTCCGGTGCGTCTTATGGGCCGCAAAATACGGTATATATATTTGGTGCGTGCAGTGGCCATTTTGTGAACTGCGCCTATATAAGGGATAGGTGGCAGCCATTTTGTGGGCAGTCTTTGCGGCTCATATAAGAGTAAGGAGAAGCTCTTGGGGTGCACACCAGTGGTGTCACAAAGGGGTTGTAGACGGTGTGGCCTGCACCGGGTGGCACAGTCATTTTGGTATCAGCCCCTCTGAAAAGTCAGGCACTCAGTCATGGACCAAGAGCCCGACAGTTGCACGAGAGAGGAGGGAACGTCCCCTCCACTCTTTGCCGGCTTCCATCATCTAGATGGCCGCCGGCAGGTTAGTGCACGTGACTACATCCCAGAGGGGTGTCCCCCGGCTGCCGCTCTGGGTGACACCATGCCTGGGGGAACCCCTAGTGCGCACTATATTTCTGAGATGACAGCATGCTCAGAGCATCTGCGGCCTAATAAACACTCTCCCTATGATAGATTTTTTACTGTCTGTGGGCTGGTAGGAGAGCAATAAAAGATAGGGAGAAGAGAAACCCCACTGATTAGTCTGTGAAAATAGAAAAAAATATCTGTAATTTTTTTTTATCACCAAAGAAGTATTAGGGGAACAGCTTATCCATTTTGAAATGACAGCATAATACGCTCCATCATTCCCTAAACCTGGTGGCTTTGGGTGCAGTGAAACCATAATTTCTAAGGAGAGGAAACCAGGGAAACAACCTTGTCTAGTTGGTGCTTCACATACGTCACAGTTCAAAGAACTTGATGCTGTTATTCAGACTGTTTATGCTGATGTATTTTACCTTCAACCTCTTATTCTATTTTCTTTTTGTTAGCCATTAATTAGTGAGAGAAATTATCTATCATTAGTGTTAGTCACTGCTGTCAGAATACATATACGCCTACTTAAACTATACTAATAAAAATACATTTGTCTTAGTATGGAAAATAAGAGGAAAGGAAACAAGTAAAAAATATATGTACAATGGTGTTCCTAAACAGCTGGTGTTAGGATAGGGGCTTATTCTTATTTAACATTTATAAGTACACGTTGTTTAATGTATGATCATTTGGAAAGAGGATTTTTCATGTCACAAGGAAGCAACTCAAAGTGACACTTTATATTCCTGTGTCCTTTTTCTTCCCCTTCTTCTGTCCTAAAGTTGGTTTACTTTATTTTAAAGGAAATGTATAGTTTTTTTGTTTTTGTATGACCCTCTCTTCCTTTTTTCCGTATTTATTATGTTCAGAACTAAAAAAAAAAAGTGGATGTAATATATTGCATATGAATATTTCATATTTACTTTCCCAACCAGCAGATGGCGCTGTAAACTACTTTTTACATTTTCGTATTTACCGGAGCAGCTTTAGCTGACAAAGGCTTATTACTTTAAAAAACTTGTTGCTTGCAGAGCTCAATTACATATTCCCAAATTTACACACAAAGCTGAAGTGACTCATAACTTCCCCGTGTGCTTTGTTCATCCTAAGCCATATTGCACTTCAGTTTAAAATGATAGGTCTCTCATAAAAAACAACAGACTGTCAGTGTCCTGGATAAACCATAAAAACATTCAAGCAGAACTCTGGGCAGAATTTTTCTTAACCCTTGCAGTGAGGCTACCCCATCCTTTACTACAAGGGTTAAGTGCTTGTTTGTGTCTAGGTGCTAAAAAAAAAGTTATACTCGGATCCTCGGAGCCGGCTTGTTCTTGGTCCGTGTAGCTTCTCTCTCCCTCCACTACAGCGGTCCAAGGTCCCATAAATCATCACATTCTATACACAGTGTATACTGTACATGTGAGGATGCTAAGGAACATTCTAATGCGGAAGAAGGAGAGAGGCTTCAGTGATCAGAGAAGCAGTCAGTCGGCTCCGAGGTTTGGGTTAGTATAACTAATTCTTTTTTTTAGCATCTAGACAAAAACAAACACTTAACCCTTCCAGTGTGATGGTAGCCCCACTACAAGGTTTAAAAACACTTCTGCCCAGAGTTCTTCTTTAAGGTCTGCTGTCAGAGTGTTTCCTGTCATTGACATAACATACTGAGAAAAGCCCACTCCTTGTGTTATATTGTCAGCCTGTGACTCGTTGGGGTTGATTTACTAAAGGCAAATAGGCTGTTTACTTTGCAAGGAAACTTGCACTTTGCAGGGGAAGTGTCCCTTTAGCTTGGTGAATGTGTTGTAACTTCACTTTGCACATTATACCCAATCATGTGCAAGGAAAATAAAAAAAAAATAGCATTTTTTGCTGGAACATGATTGGGTGATGGAAGTCAGCAGAGATTCCCCTCATTCACTAAACTTCCCCTGCTAAGTGCAAATGCCCTTACAAAAGTGAGCAGCCTATTTGCCTTTAGTTAAAAAAAAAAACTCCATTGCATCTGTTAGGGACTGCAGCTGTTGGAATTCCCTCACTCACTCCAGCCCCATTCTCCTGTCACCACCTTTTTCTGATTATCTATGCTTCTGCAGTGTAAAAACGGTTGAAGTGGGGTGGACTTGGAATTTAGGTGGAGACATTTGGCAACAAGAGTCCCTGAGGAGTGCACGCTGATTTGTAAACAGCAATATTGTTCTCATGTTCTATACACTTTGTAGGTTTTGGTATTCTGAATGAAGCATCTAGATTGTATATTTGTGGATTCCATATTCCTTTTACAGTATTTGTACACAGTGATCATGTTATTATTTCTGTCTCTTTTGTATACAGAGAGGATTGTTCCCCGCCAGATTTAGCTGGGTAGGTGATAAATACATTTTCATTTTCAGCCACTCTGGTCACCTCCACCAATGCTCTGCAGTATCTCTCCTTAATGTCTTTCTTTCCTAGTTTTTTTCTTACTTCTTTTGTTTTTGTTTACAATTATAACAAAGTTGCCGCTGCACTGACAACTGCTTTCCACACTTGCTATCCGTATCAATGTTCTGCTTTATCTCAAATGGCCTTTATTTACAGGAGGATGACTGAGCCACGTTGAATGAAAGAATATGGCTTATTTCAATAAAGAGTGCCAATGTTAAGTGCTGATTCTTATGTTCTGTGACCTGTAGCAACCAATAACACCCGTGCCAATCATATTTGGGTGTGGCTTCAGCAGAGAGGATTCTGATTGGTTGTACTAAACTTTTTTTTTCTAAACCAACATCTAAAGAGCAGTTATTTTTCATTGACAACATAATATTGGCACTCTTTTATGAATAAGTGGACATTTTCTAGGCTTACATGCTGCTTTTTGCATGGCAAAGTTATTCTTTTTTTAAAGCTCATGGAAAGTTGTTGGTGCTTCTGCTGTTTATAACTATTTGTCTTTATGCTTTTTATGGCAATTTTCCTTTTGTTTGTCAATGTTCAGTGAAAAGTAGAACACTTAAATTTGTGTTGTATACATATGTTTATACAGTATGTTTGTGTGTTGTTATGTATGTGTTATGTGTGCACTTGAGATGTTCATTGTGCAATACATGTGTTGTCTACAGAGAATGGATGAACACACTAGGTAACCTTTGGGCACTTCTGAAGAGTCACCTGGTAGTATATTTGTAAAAAAAAAGAATAAAGGCAACTGGACTTGCTGAATTTATCTTGAAGATGTTTTGCGGGTCATCCAACCAATTCTCTGGGAATAAATATGGTGAATGTTGCTCCTATCAACATAATGGAGAGAATATATCAAAACTGGAGCAGACAAAATCTGGAACAGTTGCCCTTGGCAACCAATCAGCTTCTATTTTCAGTTTGTTCAGTTAAGATTTGAAAATAAAAGAGAGAAGCTGATTGGTTGACATGTACAGCTGCTCAAGATTTTGTCTGCTCCAGTTTTGATAAATTCCCCCTAATCTGTTTATCAGAGACCTCATGGAGGTAAGGTGTTCATTGGATTTGCATGATTGGAGCTAGCCGGTGTTATGAAGTCGCCCTTAGAGAGGAATTAAACAAGATAGATGTCTCACCCCCGACCTCCATTCAAGCTTGGCTTCTCCATTTTAACATAAATGCCCTATTTTACACCTCTTTTGAACCAGTCCTCCTCCCTGTCTAGGAAGGATACTTGACTGTCTTCAAAGGAGTGACATTTTTCCTTTAGATGTAGGTACATTGCTGAATCTTGGCCAGAGGGTTTGACTCTTCTATGCTGTGCCATACGCTGGTGTAACTTCTGACATAGAAAGTTGAATGGTGGTTATGTGGTACGCTTCAAAAATGTCAGGCTCAATAAGGCAGTGCAATGATGGTGTGTGTAATTGTCATTAGACTAATGAAACATGTATTCTGGTTCTCCCTACTAATTGCTACAGTTCACAAACTACTCTTTGCCTTATTAGATGCACATATGGGGGAACAGTTACATCATCAAATCATTTCAATTCATATTTGTATTCCTGCATACCAGCATATTTGTAATGTGTGTACAATTTGTCCTAATTTGAATGTACTTCAAATGTTGAATATTTTTTCTAATGAAAAATCAGCAACCATATTGTTTCCTTTTTTAGTGATGGGTTGTGTTCAGAAATGGAATGTTACTTTTGTATTAAATCTATTTATTTCAGGTGTTGTATTTTCTCTCTAACTCCAGTACAGTCTAACTGTAATCCTAGAACATATGCCATGTATGGCTGCTTACAACAGACTAAATAGCTATTGCACTGTTTAATATAGTGACTTAATTAGGGCATCTTGACTTCAACCAATAAGTAATAAATCTGTAAGACAGACTAAAAGATGCAATCATAGATGTGTGCGCAGGAAGACTGTTAGCAATCGGATAGAAATAAATGCATGTATATGTATTTTCAAATATAGTCTGGAAGAGGACTGCAAACAAATGTAATTTGCTTAAAGTGACATTAAAGGATAA